ACCCGGGAGACGGCGGAAGTTGAGCCTAGGAGCGTGTAAACCAACCTTTTATACCATTTATACATCACATCTTGAGGTGAAACAGTACTATGAGGCACTGTTTTTATCATACAGACCTCGGACAGAATGCAGTATTTCACAATTTTGCAATGCAAATTGCACTCATTCAATATTCAGGACGATCGAAGTGAAGCACGCGTTGGCCTTTAGCTAAACTGCTAAACAATTTCCAAAATCACCTTTACGGCCAGCCGGTTCTCACTTTCGCCGTGCGAGCTGCGGTCGAGTGTTTGAATGAACATTAATAGAGTTACGCTCTAACATAATAAAGAATTTATTATGCATATTTTTTATTTAATGGTTTTATCGATGTGCAATCTTCAAAAGTGTTTGATACGGGCGGTATTTTGAGTACTCCTGCAAGTGATGTTCACTGAAAGTAGTATAGGAGGGATGTTTTACTCCTGTTTTTTGAAGTGGAATCTAATTAGTTTGAAGTGGAATAAATTAACCCCTATGACGTCATAGCCCTTTGTCTTTATCTCATGAATAAATACACAGGAATCTCATTAAGATAACATCGTGTGCCATTTGTAGTTGGTTTTGGTTTTCTAGTTGCTTTAAGGTCGATAAACGTCTGCGTTTTCGATTGGGTAGTTAGATAACACATTTAACTTTAATGCTACGTATCACAATCGTGTTTTGAGCTGCTTTATGAAAGACCAAACTCAAAATAATGGACAGAGAAGTCGTTTCTTGAAAATTTTTATTTAAAATCCTAAAAGTTAATCCTTTAAAGCAATTCGCGCAACACTATCTGGATTGTGGATCCGTTCAAGGAAGTAAAATCGGCTAAGCACGTAGCAAAATGTAACACAAAATAAATCTCAAATCGGGACGCATTTTGTAAATTTTCCTTAGCGCTGAAAAAAAAATGTATAAAACGTCTATGAAACATTTATAAACACATAAATTCCCTTTCAAAAACGTAATTTTCGTGGCCATAGAGTGCAAAATGTACCGGAAAATTCACCAAAACTTTGCTGCCTTGGTTGCATTTCAAAACAGACCATGCGCTGACCGAAAACAAGGTCGAATTCCTCGAAGGACGATTTCTTGATAAAAAGCTTCCCTTTCTCTACAAAAAGAAAACTGAGCATTCTTTTGAACTTTCTCTTTCCATTTTTTCCTCTTTTAGCAGTGTAGTTTTAACCTTGAAATGGATACCTCTGGTCTTAAAACCACCGGATGGAGATCGCGCGGCAGCCATTTTTTTGGAAAATGGTATCCCTTACTAAGGTTTCCAACTATGGTAAAAGTGAATATTCACGACCATTAAACGCAAGTTACACGTTTCAACTCCTTATGTGTTTCTGCAAAAACCCAATAAACAAACTAGCCATGAATAACAGAAGACTCCTGATAGCAGCTGAATTTCATTTTGTACATCGAAAAATACAGTTAAAAACATCACAAGTTGACACAAAACTCTGTCAGCTTCAGCTGTCAAAGTAAACAAGATTCAAGATGCTGCATAAATTTTTCGCATGAACTCACCTGTGAAATTTTGACCAAAATAGAGTGTCTCCCTTGCCTGTAAAAGCTGGCTGAATTTGCGCGTCCAAGGTCAGTTTGAAATCAAAATTTTCATCGTGTGGCACATAAACATAACATATTTCATATGTATTTAAATTAAACTTGAGCCTGTGATCATTTGACAACTAGTAACTTATCAGAGGATAAAAAATACTTGACCTCGATTGGTCGACACCTGAGCCCGAGATGCGGTCAAGTGATACTGGTCAGCGGATACCCTGTTTTGACTAATATGTGTTGATGACTAATATGTGTGCATCATCAGTTTTCCTGTTCTCCCAAACTAGCTAGAAAGTATGATCTAGTAAAACAATTAGTTGGTCAGTAGACAGCTTCCAAATAAATCACGTCGCCTCAATGAGTTGACACATAAGCCCGTGATATGGTCGTGTGATACTGATCAGTGGCTATCCTGTTCTGACAGCTGTCAATTGACCATATTGTGAATGTCCAATATAAAAGATGTGGATTTGCCAAGACACGCCTGAGGCACCCCTCCCTTCCTTTTGATAGTCTCCCCTACCCCACCCGCCCAATCTGTAGACGCGTACGCTCAGTCAATCACGTGACATCCAAACGAAAAGAAGTTTATCATATTCTATGAGTATGGGGCTGTGTCCCACACGCGCTTCGCGCGCGTCGTAGCCCCGCTATAATGTTAATTAATTGCGAGAGACAAAAGGAGCCCGCCACCTATTCTTGGTCAGCGGCACTCTCTTTACTGTATAGTAAGGTTTTTCCAGATTCTGTCCACATTCTTGGAATGCCCGTGTTGTACCGACTAATATGCGTGGTATGTGGCCGCGAAGGCCCTGGTGTTGAGTTCATGGTCTGTCTGACGTCACGGTAATCACGTGAATGCATATCCAAGTGATGCACTACAGTGAATGGTTTTTATACGAGGGCAGATCAAAAAGTTTTGTCACTTAACCGATATCTTCAACGCTTCAACTGCAATTTCAAGAAATACAGTTAAATTCCCTCAAAGTAGCTTTCTTCGACTTCTATACATCGTTGCTTCCTCATCCTCTACTTCTGAAAGCATTCTCGGTACTCTGAAGTAGGTATGGCCCTCATCTCTGAATGCACCGCTTCTTCGATCCTTGAAAAAGGTTTCCCAACAAGGGCTGACTTGATTTTTGGAAAGAGCCAGAAATCGCACGAGGCCAAGTCGGGTGAGTATGGTGGATGTTCCATCAAACGGATACCATTGTCATCAAGGTACGTCTCTGTGATGCGAGCTTTGCGAGGAGCTGCATTGTCGTGATGCAACTGGATTTGAGACCGACGTCGAGTCCGTGCCGTTGACTGAATATGCAGAAGAACTTTTGCCAAAACTGAAGTTGTATAGTATGTGGCAGTGATTGTAGCTTTGTCGGGCATTATGTCAACAACAACAGGCCCCTGAGTATTGAAGAAAATGGTGAACATTCTCTTTCTTGAACGGAAGGCTGTTTTCATGACCTCCGGGCGTGGTTCCTCTTCTGCCAGCTACACCATGTTACAACGTTTATCTTTCATAGTCAAGAAGGAAATCCAACAACGTCAGAACACCTCTTAGGGCCATTTGGCTCAGTTTCTTGCAACCAATTGCGGCAGATTGCCACCCTTTGTTCTTTCTATTCTGTTGTCAACTGAACCCATCTTGCGCACCTTTTGGATCCACCAACCTGGTCATGGACGATAGCATATGCACTTCCGTAGCTTACACCAAGCTCTTAAGCTACGAATCTGAGTGTTATAGTTGGGTCTTCTTCTACTAATGCTTCGGCTCTCTCCACAGAACTGTCGGTCACAGACGTCCCTGGCCTCCCAGCACGTGCTTCATCTTTAACGCTCTCTCTGCCATCACTAAAATGTTGAATACACCTGGCAACTGTGCGAAAGGAAGGTGAAAGGTCCCCATAAACCGTCACAAGCTCTTCATGGACAGGCCTTGCTCAGAAACCTAATTTACAACGAGTGTAAATGTACAAACGAATATATTCCTTTGAAGGCTCCATGTCACAACCAAATCAGTAAGTAAATAAAAGGACCTGGCAAATTCCACACGGGCTTTATATGTGCACTAAATTTGCGTAACAATTAGCTGTTAATTAGGTCTAAAGATTAAAATAAGAATGAAGAACTATTGTTGCATGGAGAACCTAGGACTTTTCTTGGTGACAGAACTTCCTGATCTGCCCTCGTATTTTATTTTCTTTAATAATATAGATCTGGCCTTTGAAAAACGTGAAAGTAGAACATAAAACATAGCTGCAATATAGTTAAATTTTCCGTGTAATTATAACCATTATTAACATTATTTACAATAATCAATGTTATTTCCTTTATTTCTTTTACCTTAACATAATCAATATTGCATTCTCAATGCCATCTACTCATGGAAATGCCAATAAATGTTGTTGTTGTTATACATTTCCAAGCGTGTTACGTCGCTTTAAAGCTTTTAAGCTTTAAAGTCCATTGGTAGTTTCAGCTGTTTCATTATTTTCTATTGCATATCAATAGCCTTTGGTCATTCAACACGAACTGAATATTTGATTGAATACTAAGACCTCGTGCAGTCATGACCGCATACACGTATTACTTGTGTTATGCGTTGCTGTTTCAATGTATCTTTGCTCGCGAATACGCAGCCGTCTCTCCTCGCTCCTCACGATTCGCAGGCTAATTGTATCTGAGCAACTGCGAATAAGATCGTTGAATTAAATATGACTCTTCTTTACTGTGTTGTTCAATCCAGCTTTCATGATCCGAAGTTATTCCTTTTGTTGACACTGGAACCAAAATTCAGCTACACGATTATGAAAGCGATTTTTTTCAATCAAATCTCCAAGATATAAAATCAACATGCTCACCCGCACCTCACCCGTCACTTGACTCTATCCCCAGGGAATACCCCCTTATATAAGCCAGATAGGTATGTGCTGTCCGAAAGGGTCTGGTTTTTGTGGTGTTTCAGGTTGAAAACAGGTATAGACTTTGGCCATTTTGGTCCGGAGACAATGGTTTTGAGGGAACTACAGGAGTTATCAACTTAGGAGACGTTTCAATTCCGAATGAACTAGAAAGGAAGAGTAATATGCTGATTTGGAATGGATTTTAAGAAATCTTTTTATTGGCCTTCTAATCTAAGAAATGATTACATAATTTCTACCTTTTTAAACATGTATGTTGTATTTTGTGACCTACTCCAGCTCTGAAAATGGGTATACATTTTAGAGGCCAGGTGTGAAAACAGGTGTGGTAAATGACATTTTTTGGCCTGAAATAGGGACAGAATTTGGGGAACTGGGTGGCAACCCCACCAAGAATTCCCAGGAGTATCCGCTGGGCTACATTGAGGTTGGCAAATGAATGTTTTTTATTTGTTTATTAATAGCTAACATAATAATCAACATGGCCTTCAGCTCAAGTTCATATGCATCCACCAAGGAGACAACAAATTATGCTCGTCTGTGTCGTCTTGTCGTGGATATAGGATCCCAGACATTGAGAAAACATTTGATAGTATTCACCTACCGGCAGGCCTACATGGAGTTCTTACAAAGTCTCCTGCACACCTAATACTGCAGACACTTAGAAAGAGGAGAATTCTCAATCCCACTCAATGGGCTACGCTGTATCCCCCTTCACCTTCATCCTTATCTTCGAAAGATTTTGATGTCACACTGCTAATGGTGCTCTTAAGGAATATATGTGGCTTGACTCCTCCAACCACTGGTTGGGATAATCTCCCACCTGCTGTAGATACGAGTGCTGAAGCCAACATAGCAAGGGTTAAGTATTATAGGAACCATGTCTATGGACATGCCAGCCAGGCATCTGTGGATGATGCAACATTTAATACCTATTGGCAGGATATAAGTAATGCATTGGTAGGACTGGGTGCAGACGCCGCCGCTATCAATAAGCTAAAGACCGAGAGTATGGATCCTGTAATTGAGCAACACTACCAACAATTACTGAGGGAATGGAAGAAAGATGATGATAGTAGCAAAGACAGACTTGATGAGATTGAAGGTAAATTGAATAGTCAATAATTATTGTAGTCTGCTACACAGTCGTTTTTAGTGTCGTCACGCAACACTCCTCCCCACAAACGGCTCCTGAGAACCGAACCACATTTCGTTCCCGCGGTTAATCAATTAGAATTCAGCTCTTCTTTTCTGGAAGGTGTTCGCGCCACGGTGACTCCTCCAATCCCAGCTTTGCTTTTATCGGTGCTCCATGTGTGAATGACAGAACAATCAAACCATCGCGTGAACCATCGCGTGAAAACACCTAGAGTAGTGCCATCAACTGGAGTAGTATAGTCGTAGTCCTAGTCAAAATTTATGAGATAAACAGCAGCAGTAAGCAAGCCGAGCGAATGTCGTGCACAACATCGATGTGTTTATAAAGTTTCCGGGTATAGTTTTGGGAAATCGCTCATCAATAATAGAAAGCAATCTTATAAATTGAAATTTGAATCAGTACCCTTGGGATTTTAGTCCTCACATGTACTACACCCCGGAGCAACACCCGTACAATGACCACATTCATCATACATATGCCCCCGGACAGATGCACGTTAAAAAGTACAAACGGATCCTGGTCAGAGTCTTATAGGTCTATCAAACCTTTCCTTTTTAACTTGGAACTTTCCTGCAAATTTTAAGTAAAACCTTTTCGTAGCTTGTAGACATAAATCTCGGCCGTCCAAATATTCAGCGACGATTGATTGATTTGTAGGCCTACTCTGGGACCTTAAGTCGCCGTAATTTTAAGCAAGTTAAGGCGACTTTACAAAATTTGCTCAAAATGTCGTGCGACTTAAGGCGATATAAGGTGACATATTAATTGAATTACATGTAAGTGTCTGTACGCATGGAGATGTATTCTAACCCTGGTTAGTAACATCTGCAAAGCAGAGCTGATATCTATTTTCTGGGCCCCAACGTACTCAACAATATACCGGCATTTTGAGTTTCTCTTCATCATGACTGGCAAAAGGACAATGGCATTTTTAACAGTCCAGCCCTGGCACGTACTCGAATCCTGGTACACACACGGGAGGCCCAGAACTAGGATTTTGGCGCTGTTTTGCAGACAGACTCAGCCGAGAGGTTAGGTCCATCTGTGGCGCAGGCTTATGGTTTAGTATTACATTAGCAGAGGCAAAATCTGAGTTAGAAGCAACCAAAAGGGAAAATTTTCTCTTAGCCTTTAATAAATGCATTATTTTACAATATAAGGGACAAAAAATCAATAGTTCCTGCCTTTCCTTCTCCAAAAAATAAAACCGTAAAAGTACAGTATTTCAATACATCTCTGTGGAATACTGTAAGCTGGTTTGTAGCAAAAATTTTATATTGAAGTCTTTTTTCATAATTTGACAACAAACATTAAAGTAATTAATTTAAAACATGTAAAATCACTTATCTATATCGCACATTATGGAAATGACGATCCCCATTGTATGTATTGGCAGTTGCTCTGCCAATGTTTGTCCTCACACGTTTGGCAAAGAGCGGTGTTTTCCAGTTGCATTTAAAAACTGAGAAGCGTGTGATCGCATCCTCGCGTCCTGCGGCTCACGTATTGTCAAGTTCCTTATGCACGATTGGTTTGTTCGCTAGACCACAAACACAAAAGGAAAGGAATATGATTCGGTTCTCAGCCGCCCTTTGTGGGAAGGAGCATAGGGTGACGACCCTAAAAACGGCCTTGTAGCAGACTATGATTATTGCGGATTGAAAGAAATAACCATTAGCTTATAACGGTGTTATGCATAACGAAATGCTAGAACTGAGGGAATAGGCATGAATCATTTCAATTAAGAGAATACATGCTATGGAAGAGTGTTAGTTACTTTATGACCTGCAATTAATACATTCCCAATTAAGTAGGCTGTAATTTTGACATTGGCAAAAACTCCAAGACCAAGCCTGAAATTCAGCCGTCACTTCGAGTTGGCTTCAGCTAAATTTAGGCTACCCTAGACCCTCCACCAAGAGAAAAAACACTATTTTTTAAAAAAAGTGGTGGTGGTGTTATTTTGTAGCTTTACTCGCCCCCTACCTCTGGAGGAGCATGTGACCACAGCCATAATAAACTCTTGAACCCTTGAGCTCTTCTTGTCAACACTTGCCAGATAAGAATTTACAAGACTTCTACATGTGGTTCCCCCCTTGGACTGATCAATAAATTTTTGATTCTGATAACAAACAGAGCAACTAAAGCACATGACTGATCAGATAACAGAAAGTAAAAGGGAAATTATAGCAAGCTTGACAGATCCTGCAGGGGAAGCAAAGCAAGAGAAAGGTATGTTTTTCAGTTTGTAATAAAACTTTGGTTGTATTCTACAGGGCCCTTGATATACATACCCCAACTTCTACAACTTACAAACAATTTTACATTAAGTAACTCTCAGCATAGACCAATCAGTGGGACCTTTGCAGATTTTCTCTCCAGTATTTAAAACTGTTGATTTTTTTTGAAATTATCATCTATTATCTCTTTAACAAGAAAAACGGCGAGTAAACGTGCATACTTCTACAGCGGCAAGGGTTCTAAAAACAGACCGAGTTTTTATGTACTGTATTTGTGTCTGTGCATGTTTGTGTGCTATGCTCGCCAGTTTCCTGTTTCAGTTTTCTCAGCTTTTTTGCCTGTTTCCTGCACTTTTTCTCTTGCATTTGAGGTAAAATTTGTTATGAAAAATTTCAGTCAAATGTTATTTCATATCTTTTTCATTCCGAGACTCTTCCTACAATGATTCTACAATCGCACCCCGTTAATACGGACACAAGGGGTGGGGTGATATGAACAGGGTCCTCATTTACAGGTGTTTGTTTCAGGGGATTACATACATACATACATACATACATACATACTTTATTGCATAGCTTCCCCTTGGGGGCTCTTCCGCCATACATACACGAATTAAAATAAAATGAAATAAAATAAACTAGAAAACTATTTACATTTCAATGATAAAATAACGAATTTCTATAAATAATAATGAACGTTAATTTTAAAGGCTATTTACATTTCAATAATAAAAAACTATCTATGAATTAAAAAGATATTTAAAAATTCTCCTTTTAAAAGAGGTAAAATTTCCAGTGTCTCTTATATCTTTAGCTGTACTGTTATAAAGTTTTGCCCCACGGTAGCTGAAAGTCTTTTGGCCAGTGGCCAGCCTATACCGAGGCAACGTAAGGTCTTTGTTCTGTCTTACTGAATTTAGAGCCAATTTAAGGGCTATCCCTGGGACAAAAAACTGTCTGTAATAACGGGGTATCCGCTTTAAGCGTGTGTCTGTTTTGTAAGGCTAAACTGTGACATGGTGCAATTATATGTGTTATTTTCAGCTGCTTTTGACCCAACTGAATTTATTGATAGCATTTGCCAACTATACAGCACCCGTGAAAGATGGATAGCACCCTTTCCATGGTTGGAAAAATTTCGCTTAAGCCTTGATAACAATTTCACCAGACTTAAAGTAGTGAGAAGGAAGAAAGAAAGAGGAACAAAGACGAATGAAACTCTTACTGTGAACGACATCTTCAAAGCACATGAGGAATGCGCACATCCTAGGACAGTGTTGATTGAAGGGAAGCCAGGTATAGCAAAGACCACATTCTGTAATAAACTTGCTTACGACTGGGCAACGAAGAAGAAAGGGGAAGAAAATCCTTCAGGAAGTTTTACTCCAAATTTCCCACTACTTTTGTTGCTTAAATGCCGAGAAATAGGTTCTTACCTTTACCGGGAAGGGCAGCTTTGCCCTCGATCCAGGAAAGAACAACTGGAAGAAATCTTTAATTCCGTTCTTTTGAACGCCATTGATGATCAACTTCTGCCTCAAGATGTCACAAAAGAAGACAAGGACGAATTCTTCAAATTCATTCGCCATAATCAACCAGGCATTCTACTGGTACTTGACGGCTTGGATGAGTTACCTACAAATTTTTTACCAGCGTTTAAGGAAGTAATTCAAGGAAGAATCTTACAAAAATGTCGCATTGTAGCCACAGCACGACAGGAGGTTGGTATGGAGTTACGAGAATGCTGCGATAGCTTGTTAGAAATTGAAGGTTTTACCAAAGACGACGCCCGAGAGTTTATTGTCAAATACTTCAAAGAGGACGCGCATTTGGCCGAGAAGCTATTAATCAAACTAGAGCTTGACAAAAACCTCAGAGAGTTGACAGAAAGTCCTTTGAATAGTGTACTTCTATGCCTCTTATGTGAGGACTTCGATGGCATTTTTCCAGAAAGTGCCACGCAGCTGTATCTTGAAATGATAGAATGTGTTCTTAGAAGATACACAAAAAAGAAAGGATTAGCATTACCAAAGGCCAAGGGCGAAGACCTCACCAAAGTGTACGAGACTCAACTGAAACAGCTTGGCTCGATCGCGTTGAAGGACCTTCTTCAGAATAACATGTCCTTTGTCGAAAGCGAGTTTGAAAATTGTGCAGTCGAATTACCAGAATTTGGTTTTCTGTCCGTTGAGTGTGGCAGGAGCAAACTGCGACCATCTCTGAACTATTGTTTTTTACGTAAGACCTTTCAGGAACTTTTTGCAGCATTTTACCTCTGTGGCCAGGTTCTGAATAACGAAATTTGTCCAGAAAACATAATTACCGACACCAGATATTTCCGTGAGCTCCATCAGGTACTTTTGTTCACATGCGGCCTGTTAGCTTCACAATCTCAAGAAAAGGTAAAGCCTTTGATCGCCAGTATTGCTGATCAGGTAAACAATAGCGATTTATTATTTCTCGCATTACAGTGCATTGGTGAATGCAGAAACGACGCCAGTTCTTCTCTTCGTGTGTTGTTATCTCGTTCCCTTGGCAAAAATCTTAAAATGGCAGAGCTGAACTTGTCAGACGACTTCCTTGGTATTATTGAGTGTTCTGCGTTGGCGGAGGTAATCAAGCACAATTCCTCAATAACAGTGTTGCAAATTTCATGTAAGGAACTTGTTACTGGTGACTGTAATGCACTGGCAGAAGCAATCAGACTCAATTCAACAATAACACTGTTGGATTTGTCAGACAATAGCCTTGGTACTGATGACTGTACTGCACTGGCAGCAGCAATCAAAGACAATCCAGCAATAACACAGTTGAATTTGTTAGGGAATGGACTTGGTACTGGTGACTGTACTGTAATGGCGGAAGCAATCAAAGACAATTCTACGATAACACAGTTGGATTTGTCAGACAATCAACTTAGTACTGGTGACTGTTCTGCACTGGCGGAAGCAATCATGCTCAATTGGACAATAACACGGTTGAATTTGTCATGGAATGAACTTGGTACTGGTGACTGTACTGTACTGGCTGCAGCAATCAAGCTCAATTCAACAATAACACAGTTGAATTTGTCAGGAAATGGACTTGGTACTGGTGACTGTACTCCACTGGCGGAAGCAATCAAAGACAATTCAACGATAACACAGTTGGATTTGTCAGACAATCGCCTTGGTACTGGTGACTGTACTGCACTGGCGGAAGCAATCAAGCTCAATTCAACAATAACACGGTTGAGTTTGTCACGGAATGAACTTGGTACTGGTGACTGTACTGCACTGGCTGCAGCAATCAAAGACAATTCAACGATAACACAGTTGGATTTGTCAGACAATCGCCTTGGTACTGGTGACTGTACTGCACTGGCGGAAGCAATCGGATACCATTTAACACTAACACAGTTGAATCTTTCAGGCAATGGCCTTAATACTGATGATTATTCACCATTGGCGGAAGCAATAGCTTACAATTCCTTGATAACCGTTGATTTTTATAAACGCTGGTTTCTGTTTTGGTGAAAGTGAGTGCACAATGCAACAGTAGAGAGATTTAGAGTCACGTTTACGGCTATTTGTACCCCGTGACCAAGTTTTTGCTTACTATACAGTTGAACCTCCATTAAGCGACCACCCTCGGGGAACCGGCAAGTTACCTCTTAATGGCGGTTGGCCAAAATACGATAGCATCCCTCACAGAGCATGCGTAATGCTTGTAGTACATGACGTATTACATCATCGTATTCGAAAACCTCCGTTTTGGTCCACCCACACGTAAACGAGAAGTTAGCGTTTTCAAAAATCTTCACTCTTGAGAACGTTTTTGGAATCTAGATGCATTTTCGGTGACCATTTTCACTGTATTCTAAAAAGTGTGATGCATTTGTAAAGTTTTCAAGTTTTTCTTGCGTTTTACCAGATTTATTCTCACCATCTGTTGAGATGTTATCCCTTATCTTTTTTTCCAGACAACTACATCTTGTTTGTATTTTTGAGCTATTTTAAAAAAAATAGCTCATATGTCAGTGGTGTGAACGTATGTATCTTTGAGGCTTTTTCTGTTCGGAAGCGTGTTGCAGGAGCCAATAAGGTTGAATGTACTATGAGGTACTATGTTAGGAACCAATGAGACTTTGGCATCTAAACATAGCATTGCTGAGCTAAAGGTCAAAACAACGGCACTTTGAGACCGCCATTTTTTTCTTCACAATTTTGTCGTCTTTTATTACGGCTTAAGGTGTTTAGAAGCATAAGATTTTTAAAATATCTTCATTATTCGAACGCTGATTACAGAGATGCAGCTGTTTAAGGGTCCATATTTTAGTGTGGCTGCTGGCTCAAGACATTTATGACCTAACGCGGCTATCGCGAACGGCACAAAGTACGTGAATTAAGTTTCACCTGCTTCAAAGTGAAGTATAAAAAATCATATTTTTCAGAGCTCTAAATACGAAACATTAATAATTGGTATTTAGATATTGACTTTAACTTGGAAGCACGCGGCGTAATTGTGTTTTTAGAAGTTTTAACAAGAGCTGATTTTTTTAAAGCTGTACCGAGTAACTTAATTCCGTAAACATGTTTTATTTTCTCTCGTACAATGTTAAACAGACCTTTAAATTCACGTTCCGTCAACTTAAGTGCAACGATATCTGATACATGTTTGCTGTTATAAAAGTAATTAAAACGTAATTAACTTGCCCAGTGGCTAAGTAAAGATGCGTATCTTTTACGTTAGCGAATAAACTTGGAAGTAGCCAGTTGACAAAATAATTAACGGATTGTTTTATTGAGTGGAATAACATGAGTAGAAATCAGTATTTTGGCAATTCCACAATTCTGTTGGAAGTAAAGTAATGATGGTAGGGTATCATTTTTAACATTGAATGATGCATAATTTTATTCCAGATGTTTGAAAAGGAGGTGATTTGTAACAATCGTTTGAGCAAAGTAATCTCGTAAACAATATGCCTTCTTTCACGTGCAAAATTGTAAAAGTGGCAAAGTCCAACATCTTCACGTGCAAATTGTGTGCATGAGTTATTTTTATAATCCTGTTTACTAGATTATTGTGTGATAACTCGGATTCCCTCACCACGAAAGGGGGCTATTAAGAATTGTTTAACTTTCTTAAACTTCAACTTGTTTAATCAGAACATAGTGAACTCACAAGCGGCCATGACAGTAAACTATGACAAAGGCGAGTCCGAGCGCACACATGTAAATACTAAAATCTGATTAGACAATCCAATATCGTCACACCCTTCCTTGTTTAAAAAGAAAGTGTACAATCTACAATCATGGACAAAAGTCTTGGGACACTTTTGCGTTTCTGGGGCGTTTTCCAATTCACACAGGTCCAACCCCTTCCCGCACCCCACATACAATGTTGGACGCGTGTATCCAGAATTTTTTCCGAGTTTCAACTTTGTATAGGGTGGGGGGAGGGAGAGAACTTAGAAAAGGATGCACTGTTTTAAGAGGGAACCGGGAAATGACAGAAAATATGAATACTGCAGTACTGTCCCAAGGACTTTTGTCCAGGATTGTAGATATAACATAACAGAAACAAACAACTAGCTAAGCACTACAAGATTTGGTCTAAAAACGCTCTAAAAATAGTGTCTTTCAAACAGTGACTCAGTTAAAAAGTCACTTGGATACAATAATAATAATTTATTACATTTAAAATAGCGCTTTAACTATCAAAATATTCTAAAGCACTTTACAATATGTACAAGAAAATAAATATATATATACAATAAATGGACAGAAATAATAATAGTAATAAGAATATAAAATTACAAATTAAAAGCTTTCTTAAAAAGATAAGTCTTCAACTGTACTTTAAAAGAGTCAATGTTCCTACAGTTTCTGAGGCTAGATGGCAAAGCACTCCATACTGTTGGTCCAGCATGGAAAAAGGCTCGATCGCCAAAAGTCTTCCGTGACACCTTAGGGATTACAAGCAATGTTTCAGAATCAGACTGCAGGCTGTATCTAGTTCTAGGCTTTACAACAAGTAGTTCAGATAAATATTGTGGCGCCAGGCCGTTCAACGTTTTAAAAACTAAAAGCGCAATCCCAAATTCTACTCTAAATTTCACTGGCAACCAATGAAGTTCCCTAAGTACCGGAGTAATATGGGCAAACTTAGGAATTAAGCATGTAACCCGAGCCGCCGCATTAAGAATTTTTTGAAGTCGGTCATATTGATATTGCAGAAGCTTATACAAAAGAACGTTGCAATAATCTAAATGTGATGTAACAAACGCATGAGTTAAACACTTTGTTGATTCTGAAGACAGATATTTCCTAATTTGCCTAATATTATAAAGCCCGCTAAATGCCTTACTACACACCTGTCCTATATGAGTATTCATAGACATATGGTTATCAAACCATGTGCCAAGATTTCTAACATGCTTAAGGGGTTGAATGTCACAGTCACCAACTTTAATTGAAGCCTGGGTAACCTTAGATAACTGCTGCGACGAACCGATGATTAGAAATTATGTCTTTGAATCATTAAATATCAACCTGTGTGAGACTAACTCAGCTCTAACATCAGCTATGCAGTTCTCAATAGCCTTAATCGCTTGATCTTGAGCAGCAAACGAATCTGGACGAAACGACACGTATAACTGAGTATCATCGGCGTACCTGGAACTGATGGGAGGTGCTTCTTAACAACCTCAAACAGCCTTGATGCATACAATAGAAAAAGGACAGGTCCCAAACAGCTCCCCTGAGGAACATCATAATTTAAATTGATGGTCTCGGAGGATTGCTGATTAACAATTACACGTTGTACCCTTCCAGTCAAATATGATCTAAACCACTTCAGAACATCACCGCAAATTCCAAAATCTGATTCCAGGATGTTAATCAGGATGTTATGATCGACAGTGTCGAAAGTGGCACTAAGATCTAAAAGAACAAGAAGAGTTACTTCCCGTTTGTCCATGTTGGAGAGTATATCACTCTAGACTTTAAGAAGAGCAGTCTCAGTTGAATGAAACTGACAATAGGATGACTGATGAACTGGAAGTAGAGCATTATCAGAGCAATGCCGGAAAAGCTGACCCACAACTGCCTTCTCAGCTGATTTGGAGACCATAGGAAGATTACTAACCGACCTGAATTTCCTATATACTAGTTCAAGACCCAGTTTCTTTAACAACGGTCTAATTAAAGCAGCTTTCCAACTGTCTGGAACTTGTCCCTGTTGAAGGGATAGATTAATCATTTTAGTTATGACTGGAACTAGTTCACTGCCACACAGTTTCAACAACCATGTCGGTATCGGGTCTAACTGACAACTAGCATTAGAAGAGCCCATAATAATATCAGAAACTTCTTCCTCGGAGAGGACATCAAACTTCTCAAACTTGTTCTCAGGTGTAGGAACATTTAGAATGGGTGGAACAACAGTAATAGCATCAATATCATTTCTAATTAGGTCAACTTTCCGGCAAAAGAACTCTCCAAAATCATCAGCTAACTTGCAGGGATCATCATGGGGAGGGAGCTGATTTTCCTCAGGCTTATTGGAAAAGGATCGTACAACTTGAAACAGTTTTCTTGTATCGCCATCACATTCTGCAATGAGATCAGAGTAATACCTCTGCTTCGCATTCTTCAGAGACATAGAGTAGTTACTGAAAACTTCCCTATACCCATCCTTATCCTGCTGTGATCTCGATTTTAACATCTTCTTTTCTAGTTTCTCCTCGATATTTTGAGTTTTTTAAGTTCCAAACTGAACCACGGCACTCTTGGTCTTACAGTCAGAATCTTGGTATTCACGGGGGCGTGTTTATCCAAGACTTGTGACAAAGTGGTAAATAACAAAGTCTTTAATATGACTAGGTGGTCTGGAGGTCCGACTACTGCGAGTAACTGGCAAACCCACTGGCTTTACAGGCATGGACGGCGTTGAAACATCTGCAAGATTTAAACTTGATTGGGTTTCTCTGCAGAAGAGGCCTCTTTAGGAGGTGGAAATTCCCGTGAAGTTCCTGGCACTGGCTCGTTAGGGGAGAGTGGGGCAGTGAACGTTCCATCTGGCATACTGAGAGACACAGGGTTGCTACCAGAACATACTGGTACCTTGCTGCTTCTGAGGTGTTTCCTGTTTCTTCTGAAAACTCGCCCATCCTCATTTCTTACATCATAAGACCTCACATCAACTTGCTTTTCTACTCGTGCCTTGTACCATCGGCCGGATTTATCTGTTGGCTTCACACGTACAACTTCTCTATAGTTTTAGGGTAGTAGTTCTTTAGCACTGATATTGTAGTGTTTTACTTGCGGCTGTTTCCTCTTGAAGAGATTTCCTGAGATATCTTCCACTATTTTGGGCTTCAATAGTTCACTGGTAGTTAGTATCAGTGTTCGAGTTCGGCGCCCAAACATCCTTTGTGCTGGAGAACTCTGTAGACCATTCTAGTAAGGCTAGGTAGATGTCTGATCTTGCAGCTTTAGATTTCTTCAAGAAACTCTTGGCGGTCTTGATGGCGTTTTCTACTTTCCCGTTACTCTGTGGGTAATAGGGAGAACTGGTAACATTTTCTATATCAATATTGGTTGCAAATTGCTGAAATTCATTGGAGTTCAATAGTGGACCATCGTCACTCATCAGCTTATTGGGGATTCCATGCCCTGAGAAGTGTTTCTTTAGGGTATGGATGACTTCGCTGGCAGTATTGTCTTTGAGGGGGTCGATCTCAAAGTAGCTTAGTAATCCACAGTACAGAGGTAATCTCTATTGTCAAAGAGAAGGATGTCAGAACCTACCGTTTCCCAGGGACGGCTTGGGATCTTGTATGAGATGAGTGGTTCTTTGGGCTGTTCTTCCTTGTAGCTGGCGCAAGCCTTGCACTTGAAGATGTAATCTTTAATTTCAGCAGGCATGCTAGGCCGATAGACAATTTCGCAAGCCCTTCGAAGACAGCTTTCAATGCCTGTGTGTGCACCATGTAGACGTTCACGGATCTTAGGTCTCAGACTTGACGGAATCAGGCATCGAAGACCTTTGAAGAAAACTCCATCCTGGGCTGTCAGTTCATCCCGAAAGTCAAAGTAGGGGTGAAGTATTGCCAGATCATCTTTCTTCTCCTGCCAACCCTTTAAGATAACTTGGGTGAGGGACTATAGGACAGGATCTGCTACTGTTTCTTGCTGGATCTCTACAAGCTGTGGTTCTGAAATAGCTAAGAAATCAACAGTATGGATTCGCTCGACCTCTTTTTCAGTGGGGGAGCGATTTGTGGTTGGCAGGTAAACACGGGACAAAGTATCTGCTAGATACATTTCAGGACCTGGCTTGTAACGAATCTCGACATCTTACTGTTGTAGTCTCAGGAGTAGGCGCTGGAGTCGTTCCGGTGCTGATGCTAGAGGTTTCTTGCAAATAGTCTCTAAAGGCTTATGGTCAGACCACAGAACAACTCTCAGTACCATAGACAAAGTGATGGTTTCGCTCCACTCTAAATACTTGGGATAATAGATCTTTCTCTATTTGAGAATAGTTCTTCTCAATGGCTGTGAGAGCTCTGCTTGAGTATGATACAGGTTGCCCATTCTGCATCAAGACAAATCCTATACCACTGGAAGATGCATCTCCCTGACCTTCCACAGTTTCAGCAGAATTGAAATACCTCAGGACTTGAGCTGAAGTGACAGCACGCTTGATACTCCGAAATTCTTCTTCTTGTACTGCTGACAAACTCCATTCAACGTCCTTGTGTGTTAATCTTCTCAGTGGCTCACAAAGTCCTGGGAGCTTGCTTAAGAACTTGGACAGGTAGTGCACTAGGCCTACCAGTCATCTAACTGCAGCTACATTGTTTGGTCTTTCCATTTTCAGTATGGCATCAACTTTCCTTGCGTCGGATTTCACTCCTTCAGGTGTAAGAACATGACCAATAAAGCGCGTTTCTGTACACTTCAGTCGTAGCTTCTCTCGGTTAAGCTTCAAATTTCTCTCTCTACACCAGTCTAACAGCATCAGTAAATTGGCATCATAATCTTTCACAGCTTCATCAATGCTCGCACCACGGATCTTGTATATTCCATTCAGGCCCTCTGAATTCTGATCCAGTTTTCTCTGGAAGTATTCTGGTGCGGCCCCAAGGGGTTTGGAACGTAGTCAACTTGCTAGATTCTTCATCTAACTGTATCTGAAAGAAGCCATCTTGAAGATCTTCTTTTGAAAACACTTTAACATTGGTTAACTCCGCGAGTATGTCTTCAATGACCAGAAGCGGGTAGTGACTTCGTTTTAGGGCTTTATTGAGATGCTGAGGGTCAATGCATACTCTGAGCTTCCCGTTTGGTTTCTCTGTAACAAATACGCTAGACACCCAGTCGATTGTTTCTTCTTCCTTGATTATAACACTTGCTTTCTCCAGGCGAGTCACCTCATCTTTTAACCTATCCTTCTATAGTGACCTTAAGCAAACCTGGAGGGCGGCCAAGAAAACGACAACCGGAAGTCACGACAGCCTTTCTCAACATAATTTGCATAATCATCTTGCCGTACATCTGACGTCGCGGGGATGAGTTCCAGCATTTTAGCGGTGTTTCGAGAACGTGAGTTTGCTTGTCAATTTTATCTTTTTAAAATACATAGTTTCGAAAGCAAATCTTTGCTGTTACCTATACTTCAAATCACATAGACAATTTTCGTTTTGTTGTTCTTCCTTCCAGTGAGAAGAAATTTACTACGTTTTCTGAAGCTCGAAGAGCGAAGTTCCCGCTATGGCCAAATTATTTTTTTCTTTTTTTATTGTAGTAACCTCTCTTTTTTTGCAATTATCGAACTTTCAAAATAAATCTGAATCTAATGTGTAGAAAATATAGCGACTTTGTTCTTAAAAGTTGTGATTTATTCAAAACATTTGGCCTCCCGTTGAGATAAAAGTTTGTTGTCATACAGGTCAAACATCATAGAGTGGTCCGAGAAACACGATGCAATCTTATGCCGGGAGATCTTGCTGAGCGAGCCCAACTACAAACCTCGAACAGTTGAGTGAGGAAGATTTGGGAAGAAATAGCTGAAAAATTCAACAACATCAACGACCCAAAATGTAAATTTTTAAAGCGATCGGTACGTGAGCATTTCCAGCTTCTGCTTTCAAAATTCAAAACCAAAAGGAGATCAGAGGAGCGCGCATCTGGAATAGAAGTGGAAGACATCGAGGTCGAACAGAGCAGTTGTTAACAAGTCGTTGTCATCTCTAAAAGATATCATGGCGAAGCAAAATCCAACCCACGATCAGAGGTTCTTATTTTATCTCGTTTTCTTTTTTGGCAGGCAACCTAAGTCTGACTGTCGCGACCTCCGCTCGCTGAAGTTTATATTTACGCGCACAAAGACGCCGTTCTAGTTCTATGTCTCCTCGGCCTGGTTCGCCGACTTCTTGGTCGCCGTCCAGATTTGCTTAAGGTCAGTAATGTTAGAGGCACGCGACGAGGAGGCATAATTGCAGGTGTAACAGTCGTATCTAATTCCAGGTGAAGAGCTCCTTCCATACATCCCAAGCCTTTGAATACATCACTGTAAGAAGCAGTAACTTCCTCCATGGTTAGACCTTAACAGTCAGTTTTAACCACAGTTTCATTAACATTTAGGATGTTTTCATGCTGAACAGTGATGAATCCCATCTTCTGTGCTGATGTAGAACCAAGGAGTGGAGTGTAATCTTCATCAATGACCACAAACTGAACACGGTATTTCTCCCGAGTTTTCGGGTTACCCAACTGGATTTTTGCCACACCCAGTACCTTCAAACTAGCTTTAGCGTAGGTGGTTAATTTTACTTCGGTTGTGTCAGCCACAGTATCTTTCGGCAGAAATTTAGGAGGTAACACATTACAACAGGCTCCTGAATCAACTTGCATCTTCACTAACACATCTTCGATTTCTATGTATGCAAATATTTTACTCTTGAATCCTGACATTTCCACAGTATTGACAGCGTTTTGAGACGACACAGACAAAATTTCTTCTTCAGACAAGTAACTCTCTTCATCTCTGTCGGCAAGCTGATGGACCTTTCTATGCTTGGATTTCTGAGAAGGCTTCTTGGAATCACTAGATTTGTTTCCATATTTTACAACGAAGTGATTAGGTTTTCCGCAAGAAGAACAGATGTGACCATATACAGGACATTTTGCTCTATTACGCTCATGGTGACGGCCACAAAACTTGCATTCCTGGACGAGCTGATTTTTAGGAGATTTCTTTTTTTCTTTGCGTGAATTTGGCTTTTTAGGCTCTGCTATCGAGACCAAATCAACTTCACTCGAGTGCTGGCTCGGTGCCATTTCTTTGAGCAGTGGCGACGTAGCTTCCACGGCTCGGCAGATATCCACACATTTTGACATAGTAAGCTCAGATTTTTGCAGTAATTTCCTCCTAAGAGCTTTTTCTCGGACCCCACACACAATTCTGTAGCGGATAAGATGGTCCTTCAAGGTTCCAAATTCGCAGGTTATTGAATTTGTATCTCTTGTAAATTATGTTGGTTTTGCCAATGCAATGCGTCTCCTACAATTCCAGGACCTTGGTCATGTCGGATTTTTCCTCTTCACTTCTAAAAGGTAGACCATTATGGATTTCGAGGGCTTCTTTACTAATGCAGGTGATAAACGTTGCAACGCGAAGGCGGCTCGTTTTAATTCGAAAGTCGGTCACCTCTTCGTAAGCATCCCATACTTGTCGCCATTGCTTCCGCTCTTTAGACGAATTTCCACTGTGTATTTTCAGTTTCGGCGGTAAAGATACATTGCACATAAATGAAGAAGCCATAATACTTGCAGAAGGTGCGATAGCGGACGCGGTAGCGCCTGAATTCGCATCACCATCACTCGGCATATTTGACTAGATTTCGACGACTTCAATGTATTAAGCTGCGAATTTATCAAACTGAAAGTGCTGTTAGTAAGTTGATTGGCTGCTCTCCGAAGAAAAGCTGTATGTTTGATCCGATGTCAACATCTATGGTAATCAGCTGTGCTGATGTGCTATTACCAGTCATTACTAAAATGATCAACCTGTCTGTTAATTCTGGAGAATTTGCGAAGGATTGGAAATGTGGGCTTATTAATCCTATCTTGAAGAAACCTGGATTGGATTTGCTGTACAAAAATTACAGACCAGTTAGTAACTTACAATACGTATCCAAGTTGACTGAAAAAGTCGTTTTTAATCAAGTTTACGATGACATGGTTTCAAATGCTAATTTTCCTGCGCTTCAATCTTCTTACAGGCAATTCCATAGCACTGAAACTGCACTTATCAAGGTGATAAACGATATTTTGTTAAAGATGAACTCTCAACATGTCACTATGTTAATTTTATTGGATCTCAGTGCTGCCTTTGACACTGTTGATCATCGAATACTTTTAGAGAGGCTATCTGACGAGGTTGGCATACGTGGGACTGCTCTGAATTGGTTTTGATCGTACTTGTCTGATAGAAGTCAGCGCGTTTCTGTACATGGAGTTCTTTCTCGTCCTTTTGACTTGAACTGCGGGGTACCCCAAGGCTCATGTTTAGGGCCTTTGCTATTCATAATATATGCGTCCAAGCTGTTTAAGATCGTGGAACATTATCTTCCTGATGCTCACTGTTTCGCTGATGATACGCAGCTGTATCTGAGTTTTAAACCACTCGGCAACACTGCTCAAGCTGATGCTATACAAGCTATGGAAAAGTGCATTGACGCGGTGAGGAAATGGATGATTCAAGATCGGTTGACGATCAATAATGATCAAACGGAGTTTTTGTTAGTCGGCACACGACAACAGCTTGATAAATTAGATTCGTGTTCCATAACTGTGGGCAATAATCGTATCAGTCCAAGCCCATGTGTTAGAAACCTTGGATCGTGGTTTGACAGCAACTTAAGCATGACTGATCATATAAACAAGGCTTGTAATGCAGCATTTTATCATTTACATAACTTGAGACGTATTAAGAAATACCCGTCGAGAGATTCTTTAATTACTTTGGTTCATGCTTTTATAACCAGCCGTCTTGACTATTGTAATGGTTTATTGTTTGGCTTACCAAATGTGCAGATCGCTAAATTACAGCGTGTACAAAATGCAGCAGCAAGACTTATTCTTGGCATTGGAAAGTTTTCTCACATTACACCGGCGCTTTCTTTGCGTATTGACTATAAGATTTTACTTTTGACTTTCAAATGTATTTATGGCCTAGCGCCAACTTATCTTAGCGATCTTATTAGTATAAAATCGAATTTACTATATAATCTTAGGTCTACTGGTAAGCTCTTATTGGACCATCCCAAGGGAAAGATGCTTACAACATTGGGAGCAAGATCATTCTCAGCAGCAGCTCCGAAACTCTGGAATGAGCTACCTGTGGAGCTTCGTCAGGCAACATCACTTAACAGTTTTAAATCTCGACTTAAAACCTATCTTTTTAAGAAGTATTTTTATAGTTTGTAACTTGGTTTATTTTATTCTCACGGTAATGTATTTTCGTTTTCTTTTAAACATATGATTGTAAAGCGCTATTGATCAGCACATGTAAATACGCGCTATATAAATTGGTAAATTATTATTATTATTATTAATGAAAACTTGCTTGTCTTTACCAAACGCAGTTCTGGCCGGTTTCTTCTGACACCAGATAAAGAATTGGTTCACGTTCTTAAACTTCAATTTAATCAGAACATAGTGAACTCACAAGCGACCATGACAGTAAACTATGACAAAAGCGAGCCCGAGCGTGCACATGTAAATACTAAAATCTGATTGGACAATGCAACATCGTCACAGGGGCAAAACGTCTACGTGCCGGATGTATGTATGACTGTAATTCTCATGCAGATTGGCTTTTCACAGTAGTAATAGTAACTTGAACGTAGCAAGACTTGTTTCGTTTTGTAGCCAATGCCTGAAAACATGAATAATTCAGTCGTCAGAGTTCAAGACTATTTCATTGAGAAGAAGTGCACGTGAAAACCTCGTGAATTATGATGATGCAACCATCTACCACAATGATAAAAATCCTGATATTTCCTAACTATTCGGTATTCGATGAGCCACATTTTCTTAAGAAACTCCCAAGTAACCTTCGAGTTTTCCTGGTAATCAACGTTTTGTGAGTTGATATTTATTGTACTTTAACAATTTGTTTAACTTGCCCCAGATGTATCAGGGAAAGACGGAGGAAAGTGAATATATAGCATGAGGATCGACTCTGCTGAGCGTTTCGCGTTTTCATTTATGTACCGCAATACCCAATTTCACACAAAAAAACAGTCTATATTTAGGTTGAAAAAGGTAGATTCATCATTGTTGGTACGGTTACGCTGAAGCATTCATAATAGCTCATGCACGTTAAACGTGCCTATGTTCACTAGGGTGTCATGCCCGATATCAAATTTGGAGCTCATAATCGAAAAATAAGCCTTAAAAATACCCAAGTGTTATATTTCCGTAATTACTTTGTTTAGAAGACTAGCTCGACTTGCCGCTTAAGAAACAAAAATGGCTGCTGTCAAAAGCACGAGGTTCAAAACTCTAAAGTTGACATCACTTTTTAGTCATGAAATATAACGAAACGTTCATTAGCATAATATAACACCAAGGATGACAAAAAAGAATAGAATGCGTATATCTTACAATTCTGATCTAAAAACTGGCGTACTGGCGTACGATTTCTTGCTAGAAAGTAGCGACAAATGGGGATGCCAGAGGTGTCAATGACTGCAGTTTAAGCATTCGTTCCCAACCAAATGGTTCGATGGTTTGCTCCCAGCGATTGTTTTTGTCTGGGAACTCAAACGTTATTGTTTTGTGTTAAAACTGAAGTCTAGTGGGTTATCTCTAAAAAGCTCCTTAACAGTCTGGGCCGCATGGAGTCGTATTATATAGAGTCGGTTTACGCGTAGTTGTAACTAGATTTAATGTTTAGTTGAGAAGAAAAGAGGGAGACTTATAGAAGAGAGTGAGATAAGGCCGAACATAACGCGTCCGAATTAAACAGAGTTACTGATAATGAAATGTATAAATTGAACACATTCAGACTGAATAACTCAGAGTTTGACTTGTAGAGAATTTAAACTTTAATATTTTAATTTTCTTTTCTCGCTATTTAAAATAACTTTTGCAGCTTTTAGAAGTATTAGGTCAAGTGAAAAAATGTCACACGTAAAAGCTAAGCATTTCTTGTCTGGCAGTACAACTACGATACCTTTAGAAACTAAAAACAGCAGTCAGCTGAAACAGTTTTTTTAATCAGTATTAGGAAGAGTATTGTATCAAAAATGAGCTTGCCTTCCCAGGACAAATTTATAAAATCGCTCTCATTTAATAACGGTTATGAAAAAGTGCAACATGTATTGGACTTACATGTAGGATTGAAATACTAATTCTAATTCTTCTTAATAACTAAGACAAAACATCAAGCTCATGAAATTAGCAAAAAGATACTATTTTTATATACCACTTGCCGCGCGAGTAAGCATGATATCTGACACGTAAACAGATAATAATCTTGAATCTTGAGTTGTGACTTGTCTCTCCTCAATATAGCGCAACGTTACAATTTTAGACAATAAACGAATTAAAATTACCTTCTTTTTATCCAATCGTCCGAAAGTAGGTCTTAAATTTTTCTCTGCTAAACGCCCTTAAAGGAGACTTTTTGAAGCGGACTGTATCTACCTTGAGCTCTGTCATTTCGAGAAAGATTACAAAGTTCGTGTGTATTATACTGAAACACTTCTGTGAAACATCTCAGCGCCGTTGACCGTCCAATACTGTTCTGGCAAAATGACTCACATTCCAAACAATCGAATAAGCATTGTTTTTATGGTTTCCCATATTTTTCTTTTAGTTTGTGTAAACTGGTTTCAGCAAATCTCAAAAAATATACAATCATTGGAGAGCACGTCTTCAATTCAATTAATGCGGTCCCAAAGGAAATACACACACCTCATGGAAATAAAGAGGAGGGGATGCCTCTAGGCATCCCCTAAAAAATGAAGTACAAAATACTTTCAAATACTTAAGTACACCACACTACAGCCCGTCATGATCTCCTACGTACGTGGGAAGGGTGATACGGCTAGACACTAGCTTTAACTAGCAAAGAAAGACAACTTTGCACATGATAGGATATAATTTTATTTTTACTAATTAGATTAAGATTTGGTCTGCAAGAAACGTTTTTTGTTGACTCAAAATCGCTTAATCAAAGGCTAAAATGTAGCACTTTTTCACGAGCTTTAAAAGCGGTTTAGTACATGGCGTTCACCAACAAGGCTTGTTGGCCTGAAGGAGCATTC